CAAATTCATAATTGTGAGATAAAAAGTCATAATTACCTTTTAATTTTTTTAAATCCTGTGCTGGAAACAAGCTTCTATAGTGCATTGTGATAGCTATCAATTAAAACATTATTAATATAATTTAACATTGTCATGACTCCAACAGCACGTAAAACAGTTGATAGGAAGTATAAATTAAATACAACTGATTATTAAAGGGGTCATATGATGCTGCTAAAAAGAACATTATTTTGTGTATTTGGTGTAATGAAATGTGTTTATGTGGTTTAAAGTTAAAAAACACATTAGTTTCCACATACTGTACATTATTGTTTCTCCTCTATGCCTCGCCTTTCTGAAACGCGTTGATTTTTACAAAGCGAGGTGTGCTGTGATTGGCCAGCTATCCAGTGCGTTGTGATTGGCCGAATACCTCAAGTGTGAGACGGAAATGTTACGCCCCTCACATACTGTTGATGCCGTGTCCCGGCCGGAGAGACGAGACAAAAACATTAAAACCCATTACATTGCCAGACTCCAGAAACTGATACACAGTGTCGAGACATGGAGTTCCTTTGCAGTGATGGCTTGATACAACTAGCGTTAGACCACCCACAACAGTGTCATTCTCGAAGAAAACCCTTACCTAGCTCTCACAACAATATTGGACATAACACACAAATAGCTTTATTTCCTACACATTAAAAAAACTCCTTTGTTCTGGCTATTCATGCACATCTTTGTGTGTTTTCCCGCATTCGCTTACCCGAAGTCCTGATCCATAGACTTGAAGAAGAATTTGTAGTTCGGCTTGTTCAAAACCTGTTTAAAATCCAGCAGAGTGATTTTCTCAGCCGCTATGGGAATTTTCACCAAGTACGGCGTCTCCTCTTCGTCAATGTGATAAATTATTTTAGTCTCCGCCATGTCTCCCAACTCAGCTCAACTTTCCCGTTGTTCTACTAAAGTATGGAAGAGGCAGCAGCTATGCTGCTAATGTTAGCCAGCGCTCCGGAGAGAAGGGGGTCGACAAAACTCGCCTAGACCACAATACTACTATCCAATAACACTGCCCCGACTAGCGCATCCAGCATAAACAAAGAAAAACAGCGCTACTGTGCCTAACTTTTGTTGTCTTGAACGCTCAAAAGTGTCATGATTTCCGTTCAAATACAGCTACCCTGTTGAAACACCATTTCCCCCGTACGAAGACACACGGGGGGTTGAAAAACTTCTCTTCTGCTAGGGCCAGCGCGGCGCGTGACGAAGCAGAGGCGCCCAGGACTTCCCACTGCTTGGCTTCGACCGGGGCATGTCCATATGAGTGCTTTTGTGGTACTAAGTGGGAATTTTGATTCGTCCCAGTGATTCGAATCTTTTGAATCAGTTCACTGTTCGCAAAGATTCGTTTGCGAACTCTTTCTGCAGTTTACGCCAGTAGGTGGCAACTGTTGTGCTAGGACTTATAAGCGAGTTATTGAATCATTCACGCAACCGATTAACCAACTCGTTAATATTGCATTACAAATATCCGAGCCTCGCTCATTTTCAAAACGGACTCTTTTAGTAAAAGGGGCGTGTTCGTTCAGTACGTCCAACCAATGAAATGCTCCCTGTTACACCTACGGGATTACATCTCTGCCACAAGATCATATTTTGAGCGCGCAAAAGTGCGTTTTGCACGTGCGCGAACTGAGTTTTGTGGAGAAAATGTTTGTCTCGCAAAGAAGAAAGTAGGCTATTTAGAGTGCACGGAAATCTATTTTGCATTTAAAATAAGTTTTTGGATGTGTGCAGACCTTCTCTTTTGCGCATGCAAGGTTTCACTAGCTTGCTCACCTGATGCCCTCCCTCAGTGCTCTCTCAATGCCAGCGGCTCGCTTGCTCAACACAACCCAGCGTTACAATATTCCATAATTCCAGCCAATCAGAGACGAGGCTGCTAAATTCTGATTGGCTGCCTTGACAACCATTCACAGCATTCCTTGCATTACCTCCACAGCAGAAGAGGAAAAATACAGTGCATGCATAATTATTATGCAAGTTGATATTCTGATCACATTTTTTTCCAAGCACATTTTACCAATTCCAAACGACATCAATCTTAATAACTATTAATCTTGTATTTAATCATTTATAATTGATATATAATTATCCATGAAGGCTGGAAGTGAAAAATGTCTTATATTCAGGTGTGCATAATTATTAAGCAGATTTTCTTTTACAGATAAAATGAGCCAAAAAAGAGATTTAACTCAGACTGAAAGTCAAAAATTATTAAATGCCCATGAGAAATATTCAAAACTAATACAATACTAGAAATTGCAAAGTGAATGCATAACCATTGGACAGCAAAATGCTCAGTGGGTCAGCAGGGTCAGTCAAAAACATGTAGAGAAGAAAAGTTCATTTTTAGTCCATCTCGAGATTTTATCTGTAGAAGATAACCTGGTTAATAATTATGCACACCTGAATATAAGGCGTTTTTCACTTCCAGCCTTCACGAACAATAATATATAGATTCTAAGTGATTAAATACAAGATTAATAGTAGTTATTAAGATTGATGTTGTTTGGAATTGGTAAAATGTGCTCAGAATATCAACTTGCATAATAATTATGCATGCACTGTATTTTTCCTCTTCTGCTGTGGAGGTAATGCAAAAAATGTTGTGAATGGTCGTCAAGGCAGCCAATCAGAATTTAGCAGCCTCGTCTCTGATTGGCTGCAATTATGGCATATTGTAACGCTGGGTTGTGTTGAGCAAGCGAGCCGTTGGCATTTAGAGAGCACTGAGGGCGGGCATCAATGGAGCAAGCTAGTGAAACCTTGCACGAGCAAAAGAGAAGGTCTGCGCACATCCAAAAGCGTATTTTAAATGCAAAATTGATTTTCGTGCACTCTAAATAATTTTTTTCCTTGCGAAACGAATATTTTCTCCACAAAACTCAGATCGCACTGAATTGTGGCAGAGATCTAAACTTATAGTATGTTGGTTCATCCCAGTGACTCAGATCTTTTGAATCAGTTCACTAAAACATTAATTCACGGAACCTTTTTTGCAGGTTACGCCAGTAGGTGGCAGCTGTTGTGTTATTATGAGTCGTTAAAGGGTTAGTTCAAACAAAAATGTAAATTCTGTCATTAATTACTCACCTTCATGTCGTTCCAAACCCCTAAGACCTTCGTTCATCTTCGGAACACAAATTAAGATATTTTTGATGGAATCTGAGAGCTTGTGCGCGCTGTCTACGGAACGTAAACAACGCTGATTATGTTCAGTAGACAGCGCGTGCGCATGCCGAACTGAACGTAAACAACACTCATTACGTCGATTACGTTCTGGGGTACTCTCCAAAATAGTGTAAGGCGGCAAGGGAGAAGAAATGCGGAATAAATTGTTATTATTGTTTTCTTTTTGCACACAAAGTATTCTCGTAGCTTTGTAAAATTACGGGTGAACCCCTGATGTCGCTTGGACTATTTTATCGATGTCCTTGCTACGTTTCTGTGCGTTGATCGTGGTATCATTGCAGTCTACGGGAGGGTCAGAGAGCTCTCGGATTCCATCAAAAATATCTTAATTTGTGTTCCGAAGATGAACAGGGGTCTTACGGGTTGAGGGTGAGTAATGACAGAATTTTCATTTTTGGGTGAACTGTCCTTTTAAATCACTCACTCGAATGATTCTTTAAGTTTTGTACAAACATCATGAAATGTTAATTGACAGTTCAAGCTCGAAAACTATTGGCTCGCACAAGCTTTGAAGACAGGATAGTCAGGCGCTTCTAAAAGGACTGAGCGAAAGACAAATGTGAATCAGTGGATGAACAATGATAACGATTCGTTCAAAACATCGAAAGAATGATTTAATATTTTCAATGATACATTTTTGTTCATATTTACAGTCATTAATAGCCTACCTTATGTAGCTACGCCCCTTTTTATTTCCACATCGTGAAGGTAAGGTCGTAATTATATTTGGTCTATGTGACATTAATATTGACAAATCATTGTCGATAAACTTCATTTTCCCATTCGGACAACTTGTCACATGTAGTGAGACAAAAAAATGCAATCATTTGTTAAATAAACTATGCTCTGTAAACAAAATGTTAGGGTTCGTATCTATACATAAATTAACAAAAATAGTAAAAATATTAACTTTTTCAGTCAGCTGAATTGATAAAATACTGTACATCTGCATGTCGTGCAATCAAAACTGCTCACAGATGTATTAATGTGCATCATCCACAAGAGGGACTCATTACCTCATTATCATTTTTCATGAAAAGGCCCATGCTGAGCAGTCTACATTATTTTTTATTTATTTTTTCAAATTAAACAACAATGCATTTTTTTCTAAAACACAGAATGCTGCAGGCCTATATATTTTCCATGTTTGCATACAAAACAACACACTGTACAAAAAGTTAGAGAACAGAGAATACCATCCTTTAGAATATTGACAGGAATAACTGTACACACTACAATATGAACATGAAAAATAGGCCCATAAAGTATTTGGACACTTAATCCAAATGTAATGTATTAAATAAAATGTATTGAATTCAATAAAATATTAAACCAGATATCATCTCCTTGACACTAGTGTAGAGTTATTTTCAGAACCTCACCATTTTTTGAATTTGGTTTAAGTAATAGCAAAAGTAAATAATAGGTGCATTTGTAATGGATGTACAATATGAAGTCATTACATATAATTTATCACATTAACTATGGACTTGTTTCTCTAACATTTGTCAACCAGGTTCCACAATACTTTTTGTCTTTACTTTGAACCATATGTTATTGTATCATTTAAAAACCTAAACTTTGTATACTATAAAATGTTTTGCAATGACTTTAATACATTTTAAGTGTCCAAATTTCAGGGTAACTGTAGATTTTACATGTAATCAAAATGATCTATCTATAATGATCTAAATGTTGTCATTTAAAAAATGCAGGGACAGAATACATATATTAATGTAACAAGATACACCCATGTCCTTAATCTCTCAATTATGAAAGAGGCTTGACCCAAACACAACCCCAATCACACAAGTCAGCACAAACATAATCCAGAAGATGACAGCCAGAACCTGAACGCACATCACGGTATTCTTGTGTCTCCTCAGAACCTCAATTTCTCGGAGCAGCACCCTAGGTGGGTTTACCAATTCTGTGCCTTCTCCCATCTGCTCCACTCTCAGACTAACAGTGGGCAGGATTATGAATCGGGTATCCCTCTCCCCCAGAGATAGCACCAAGCGCTGGGTCACCGTGGCCAGCCGGGCAGACACCGACGCAGGCAGATGAAAGGCTACGGGAGGCAACTGGGAAAGAATCCGTGAGTTGCAAGGGAGAGAGTATGCATCACCACACTGTAGCGGGGTGGAGTGGCGGCACAGGGGGCAGGAGATTGAGGGGGCGCTGTTGGGGTCGGGCGGGTGCAAAGGAGTGAGCTGGATTTTGCAGAGACATTCCGTGCAGAAGACGTGAAGGCATTCTAGCATGCGTGGGAGTTTGGAGTCCTGGTCGTACTCCTGATAGCAAACTGGACACTCCACCTCCGGAGACTCTGAAGGCACCTCAGTTTGTGCAGGTATTGGTCGAGTCTCTGCCATGATGGAGGTAACTGAGATGCCACAGAGAATATGGCTTTTAATCTTCAGTAGGGACTTCCAGAGTCGTGCTCTTCTGAAGTAACCGAGAAAAAATAAAGGTTGATCATGTTTAATTATGTCTCATCTAGGAAACAGTGATGCCACAGATGGCCACAAAAATGAGATTAAGGTGTTTGCATTATTTCAAAGAAACAGTTCACACAAAAAAATGAAAATTTACTGAAAACATACTCTCCCACAGGTCATCAAATATGAGTTTGTTTCTTCATCAGAACAGATTTGGAGAAATATCTTTATATGCATATTTATATGCAAAATGGTAAAACTTGGAATATTTGTTCAACCGTTATCTGCCATTACATCACTTGCTCACCAATGGATCATCTGTAGTGAATGGGTGCCGTCAGAATGAGAGTTCACACAGCCGAGAAAAACATCCCAATAATCCACAAGTAATCCTCATAACTTTAGTCAACCAATTAACATCTTCGTAAGTGAAAAGCTGTGTGTTTGTAATAAACAAATCCATCATTAATGTGTTTTCACTTTAAAGCATCTTCTGGCCAAAATACAGTCCATAATCCATAATAACGCTTCCTCAAGACTATCCCCTGTTGTCCTCTCACATCAAAATCCACAGGCATATTTATTTAGAACTGTTTTCGCTTGTAAAATGTGCTTGATCTGTGCATATTTCTCTCATGATTCAGACAAGACAACTTTTTCACTGGAGAAACCAATATTATGGATAAGAGACTCTTATTTTAGCTGCTTAATGATAACAATTTCTTAATTTATTTCTTAATTACAAACACACAGCTTTTCACTTCACAAGATGTTAACTCATGTCATGTGAAGTACTTGTGATGTTTTAATCAGCTGTTTGGACTCTCATTCTGACGGCACCCCTTCACTACAGAGGATCCATTTGTTGAGCAAGTGATGTCAAAGCAAATAACTGTTCAACACAAATTCCAACTTTTATGTGCTGTATGTCCTTAACCATTTTACATGGTCAATATGTGAGGATTTCCAGTCAGGATTTAGACCGTATCATAGTACTGAGACTGCTCTCATTAGAGTTACAAATTACCTGCTCTTATCATCTGATCGTGGTTGTATCTCTCTATTAGTGCTACTGGATCTTAGTGCTGCGTTCGACACTATTGACCACAACATTCTTTTGAATAGACTAGAAAACTTTGTTGGCATTAGTGGAAGTGCATTAGCATGGTTCAAATCGTACTTATCTGACCACCATCAATTCATAGCAGTGAATGAAGAGGCATTATATCGATCACAAGTGCAGTATGGAGTACCTCAAGGCTCAGTACTAGGGCCGTTACTTTTCACGCTTTACATGTTACCCTTGGGAGATATCATCTGGAAACACGGTGTTAGTTTTCACTGTTATGCTGATGATACTCAGCTCTATATTTCGTCGCGGCCCGGCAAAACATACCAATTTGAAAAACTAGCGGAATGCATAGTCGATATATAAAAAAAACTGGATGACGAGTAATTTCTTACTGCTAAATTCTGAAAAAACAGAGGTGTTAATTATTGGGCCTAAAACCTCCGCAAACCTAGAACACCGTCTAAAACTTGATGGCTGCTCTGTCAATTCTTCGTCATCAGTTAGGAACCTAGGTGTGCTATTTGAGAACAATAGAATATCAAAATCAACTGCAGCGGCAGATCCTTTTACTACTTAGCGCCCAAACTCTGGAATAACCTACCTAACATTGTTCGGGAGGCAGACACACTCTGTCAGTGTAAATCAAGATTAAAGACCCATCTCTTTAACCTGGCTTACACAACACACTAAAACATTTCTAATATTCAAATCCGTTAAAGGATTTTTAGGCTGCATTAATTAGGACAACCGGAACTGGGAACACTTCCCATAACACCCGATGTACTTGCTACATCGTTAGAAGAATAGAAGAATGGCATCTACGCTAATATTAGTCAGTTTCTCTCTTACTCCAAGATCACTGTAGCCACCAGATCCAGTTTGTAGCCAGCTCAGATGGTGGATCAGCACCTAGAGATGACTTCTACAGCCCTGAATGTCAGCGGAGATCAGGACAACTAGATGAGCCACAAAGACAGATCCCCAGTGAGGACCTTGTCTCCTAGACGGCCACCGGGACAAGACCACAGGAACCAGTTGAGTCCTCTGCACAATGTGACTTTACTGCAGCCTGAAACGTCTGGCCAGAGGAGAACTGGCCCCCCGACTGAGCCTGGTTTCTCCCAACGTTTTTTCTCCATTCGGTCACCGATGGAGTTGTGGTTCCTTGCCGCTGTCGCCTCTGGCTTGCTTAGTTGGGGACACTTAATTTGCAGCGATACCATTGACTTGATTGCAAATGATTGCAAGGATACTATTTAAACTGAACTGAGCTGGATGATGACATCACTGAATTCAATGATGAACTGCCTTTAACTGAAAATTGAGTGTTTACTATTGTCATTCTGCATTATTGACACTATTTTCCTAATTAATGCTGTACAGTTGCTTTGACAACCCGTATCGTTAAAAGTGCTATATAAATAAAGGTGACTTGACATATAAATATGCATATAATTATGAAACACTACTTTGTATTTGCCAGATCCTGCTTAATCAGGTCTCATCTAGTTTATAAATAAGCGGAACTGACCCAGTTTCACAAGCTACTCTCGCAATTCCGGTGTATGAAATCACTAAAATATTGAGAAACCGGGTCTTGGCACAACACCAAAATATCAACAAAAACTCCCCGAAAAGTCACATAGATCTTGTGATAATGATTAGTAAATGTATGTATACACCTGCATATAAAATGAGCCACTTTTGGCTTGTAAACAACACAATTTTATGATGATTTCATCAGATTTGGCTTTCATCTGCACGTGTTTTAGTCTCAAAAGCTTTGTATTTACAATTTTCATTAATTGGGTAAGAAATATGTACAAATTTATGATAACTGCACATACAAAAAAAAGGTCCAAATACAGCAGGGTTTATTAAGACTCTTTACTTCTAATAAACCCTGCGGTCTGTTTTCTTATTAGGGTTGCAGTTTCAATCCAACTCTCGAGTGGGCATAGTCAAAGCAACCATCACTCACAGGAGGGGCTGCCTAGCAATGCAGGTCTCTATAGAATTAGTGGCAATATTTAGTGTAAGAGTGCAAACTTGGACTTTAACTTTTATTAAAATATAAGCAGTGCAGATCTTAATATGCAAAATTGTTTGTTTATAAGTTAGTCATTTGTAGTGTCAATTTGCAAATGTAACCGAAATATGCTACATAACATTAAACAAAGCCACAACATCTGGTCATGCGAGTTACACAATGATATAATTGTTTTCAGGAAGAATGCATGTAGTTATATTGTGAAAATCTTTCATAAACAATCTACACTTTAATATTTATGTAATAAATGGAAAGGAAATAGAAATGACAAGTAAATATATTCATATATCTGGGAACTCTGTATTTGCATACGACGGCTTATCATTGCTGTTATTCAGAGAACCAGAGCTGGGTGTTCTATTAGCACCACAGTTTATAGTGTGTGAAAGAAGGATGAAAGAATCACTCACCGTTCCAGTCCTGCTGTTTTTCTTTCAAGGTGAAATGCTCTGTGCCCGTTCAAACGTGAGCGCCGGGTCCATGCTGGGTCAGTTTGTCACAGGTGAGAAGTTTGGGGGAAAAACTGTTGACTAAGCTCTGTCACCATTTAACACTGTCTGTTTATACCCTGCACATGTTTTTGTACGTTTACCTCGGTCTCTTTCTTTCAGTCTCTTCCCTCCCCTGATGTCATGCTATGTATGGCTGGGGTGGGTGCTGCTTCACTGACATTTATCATCAAGAGATGGCTTGGTTACTAGGAGAGGGAACAGCACAAGAGCTATTGTTGCTACAGAATGCTTTCATTGATGTGTCTCGCTGCACTGTTATTTAACTTGTTAATTAGCAAAATTGGACTTTTACTTTTTTATTTGATACAGTACAGTGTTGTGTAAAACTTCATGTACACAAGGCTAATATGGTTAAACTAACAATTCTAAATAAAATGGACGTTAACTGAAATTTAATATGAAAACTTTAATTTCAGCTAGTTGCAAAGGCAACGTTTCTCATTTAGTTTAGCTTTAAATATCAAAAGAAATTAAACAATTTTAAACATTTTGTATGTGCAGTTATCATAATTTAAAATGAAAGTTAAAAGCATACAACAAAATTATTAAAACTAACTAATTTCAAATGAAAAAAATATATACAACATTTAAAATAGTAAACCATAATAGTATATCAATAATCATTAAATAACTACACTCCATAAAATTCACGTGTCAAAAATAAAGCAATATAATTTAATTTATTATGCAAATGTTCATTTTCAAAATTCACAATTTTCAAAAAAAATGGAAATTCTGTCATGCCTTTTTTTTTTATTCTAAAGAGCATATGAAAAATGTCCCAGTGTTTTTTTTTGTTTTTAGTTTTTTTTACCTTCTTAAAAATATTCTTTTCTCAGAAAAAAAAGTCAGTCTCACAAGTTAGAACACCATGAGGGTGATCATTGGCTGAACTATTATTTTAAGCATGAAAGAACATGGTACCATCATGCCAAAATTAAAAGATTAATGTTTATGTGTCTGGAAAGCCATTTAAAATTCAGTTCTAAATACTGTTCAAATACAGTTTGGGCATTATTATGCCAAGAAACAGAGAGAGAGAGAGAAAAAAAAAGACAAAACATTTCATACACTCTTAAAAATAAAGGTGCTTCAAAAGGTTCTTCAAGCGATGCCATAGAAGAACCATTTTTGGTTCCACAAAGAACCATTCAGTCAAAGGTTCTTTAAAGAACCATCTCTTTCTTACCTTTTTATAATCTGAAGAACCTTTTTTCACCACAAAGAAGCTTTTGTGAAACAGAAAGGTTCTTCAGATGTTAAAGGTTCTTTATGGAACCGTTTAGACAAAAAGGTTCTTCTATGGCATCGTGAAGCACCTTTATTTTTAAGAGTGTAGAATGTACTTCCTTTTCCACAGACACATAATATCTGGCACTGAAATGACAACTGTAACAATCCATGGGACATGACCAACTGGCTTTTTGGTATTGTTGCAAAAAATTGGTATTTGGTATTGTTTACAGTAAGTAAATGATTAAGAGCTGTTTGTTCCATTTATAACTGACGAGACTGCGGTCATGGGTCATGTTTTGTAGTGAGTGGTTTACCAGCACGTTGATCATGTCTGGCAGCGACATCCTAAGCCAACCTTTTTTTCCCCCTTTCATTGTCGACTTTATTTCTCAACTTCCTCTTGTTCACATATAAAACATCAGGACTTACAGAATTTACTGGGTAGAAACACAACAATTACATCCTGTTAGGCATTTCTACAACATTATAAAGTGATATTCATATTACTATTATTACATACATGTATACACACACACATATGAAAAGTTCAGATGCAAAGCCTCTAAGTGCCATTTGAAATTTTTTTCAAATGTTTTTTTAATCAGGCTCCTATATGTAATAGGTTCTTTTCACTGCCATTAAAGTGAAATAACTGGACATAAACATGAGAAAAAATTTCAGACGGCACTTATACATGATACACTCTATACATGCTCTGCTCTAAACACAAAAGTATCAGATAACAGAGTAAACAAGTGTGTGTTCTTAAGAAGAAAGTTCAAAAAGTTACGAGAGACACAAGAGAATGCGGGAAGCACTCAGAGCAAAGGTCAACCGGCTACAGCCAGTTTAGAATCAGCGCGGCACACCTAAGACCAAGTAAGGGAATGACGGGGAGGGAGAAAACAGGAGGCGAGAGCATTCTGGGAAATCTCAGTGGGGTAGAGTGGTTTTGTTTGGATTAGGCTAATAAGGTGCAGCACAGCTCGGGTGTATTGTATTTCCCTTGCTGTAATCACTGTTTATTTTTATAAAAGTCGTTTCCTCCACACCTACAATAGAAAAACCCTGAGGCACTCAGTGTTTCAAAAAGGCATGGATTCCGGTAAGCTAGAAAAAGGGTCATTGTAAAATATGTAATTTTTTCACAGGCTTACTGTACAAATATCAAGCAAAACAAAAAAAGTTATTCTGAGTTTGACAAGTTTTAATGTCAACCTAAATCTTAAAACACACCAAATTCCCCAAAAAACATTGTTTACTTAGAATTTATTAAATATTTCATTTCTGTTACTGCATTGTTAAAGGGCTCATGGACTGTTTTTTTTAGTACTGTTCTCTAAGGTACACTTATAATGTTATCAAGATTTTTTTACATCAAAAAACAATTTAGAATAGGCTTTTTTTATGTCCCGTTTTTACTCCTCATAAATTTGCTCCGTTTTAATAGGTCGAACTGTACCTTTTGTAAACGAATCTGCAGTAAAATTAAGCGAACAAAGGACCAAGTTCTTACTGACGCAGTCTGGAACTTCATTAAAAATAAACTTCATCCACTCTTTCCTAATGTTGGGATCAGAAGGAAGGCAATGCAGAGATGTACAGCATCTTGTTGTCTTTATCTTTAGATTTCTGCCTCTCTCGTTATTTACACTACATGCACGAATCGGTGGGTGGGGCTAAACAGGCAGTGACGTAGAAGCAGGCTTGATCGTCTTCTGCGAAGGCGGGGTTTAGCCACACTATTACATCATAAAGTGGTACATTCCGCAACCTGTCTTTCTATGGCAAGCCGTTTTGACTTTTATTCATTCTCAGGATATGAATTCTTGATATCAACAATTCAATTTTTACTAGTTAAAATGTTAATTCTTGATATCAGGAATTAGATCTCTACTAGTAACAATTGCCATTTTTGATATCAGCAATTACATTTCCACTAGTAACAATGTTAATTCTTGATATCAACAATTCAATTTTCACTAGTAAAAACTATAATTCTTGATATCTGTAATTGTATTTCCACTATTAAATGTCACCATAGGCTGCCATTCAAAATCAATTGTTGATATCAAGAATTAATAAGTTGAAATTCCAATTTCACATATCAGAAATACAATTCTTACTAGTAAAAACCTTTATTTTTGATATCAGTAATCACGTGGTTACTAGTACAGACATCTATTCTTGATATCAACAATTTAATTGTCACTAGTGACAATGTTCATTTCTGATATCTGAACATGTATTTCTGATATCAACAATTGGGAGGGTAATTTCTGATATCTAAAATGACTTGTTTCTAGTAAATCACATTCATGATATCAGAAATGAACATTGTCACTAGTGACAATTAAATTGTTGATATCAAGAATAGACGTCTGTACTAGTAACCACGTGATTACTGATATCAAAAATAAAGGTTTTTACTAGTAAGAATTGTATTTCTGATATGTGAAACTAGAATTTCAACTTATTAATTCTTGATATCAACAATTGATTTTGAATGGCAGCCTATGGTGACATTTAATAGTGGAAATACAATTACAGATATCAAGAATTATAGTTTTTACTAGTGAAAATTGAGTTGATATCAAGAATTCATATCCCGAGAATGAATAAAAGTCAAAACGGCTTGCCATAGTCTTTCTAGCAGATTGGCTTCAATATAAGCCGTTTTTAGACTAAAAAGGAAAGTTATTTTGAGTTCTTGCATGATATTTTTTTATTGTAGGCCTACAATGACCTCTTATGTGTCAAAAGAGCAAGGGAATTTTGTTTTCTCAGTTCATGACCCCTTTAAAAACAGGAGTGAATTCAAATAAACCGGGCGTTATTTGACTCCGATTTACCGTAATAGCCCTGCATATCAGTAAAGTCAATGACACCCACGCACAGGTTTCATTTTTTCCTAAATCTAAAATACTTGGCAAAATCAGTGCATGGGGAATTCCTGCTTTGGTTTTCCCCATACAAACATTTACTATATCTATAACATGGTTACACCTTTTTTTTTTTTTTTAAGTACAAAAGTAGGCTACAGTAAGACACGTACGCCAGTATGACGTAACTTCTGGCTCTGTTTAGTCATGCATGACATCACCGTGTTTACAGACGATGACATCACTTGTTTAAAAATGCTAGTCCTCCAGCTACAGTCAGTTTGGCCGAGAACGAAAGGAAACCGAAACGCCTCCCCCCTACGTACTTTCATCCGAGCCGCCTTTACCAACTAGGTATATAAGACTCCTCAGCATGAAGCACCGGCACTTTACTACCAACCTTAAGAGTGCGCAACAAGAGAGAAGCAAACAAACAACAGGACAACATGTTTCCAGAAACGGAGTGCGGAATCTGCTACCGAACTTACAACCTCAGTCGGCGGTGTCCTCGACAGCTGTGCTGCAAACACACGTTTTGCGAGAGCTGCCTGGTGACGCTCCGGCGGTCCGCGGAGAGCCCTGAACCCCGGATAATGTGTCCGCTGTGCCGTCACTCCACGCCGCTGTCGGAGGCGAGAATCCAAGAGACCCTGCCGGTAGATGAGGACATGTTTGAGCGGCTTGTAACCGAGGGCTGCGCGGAGGAATGTGCGGAAGACGACGAAGACACCGAGGAGCCCAAACGGGACACGGTCACCCCACCAAAAGAAGACGTTTCACCCCCGCAAAGATCGCGTAAAAGACGCCTGGTGAAATGCTTCAATCGCCTGTGCCAGAAATTCACCGGGGATGTACGGAGAAGTGAGTAGCCTATTCCACCCCGTGTCAACTAGCATGTGCGTTTGAATGGCTTTCAATTAAGTTAATTAAGAACTAATTAACACGTGTCATTTGTGTTTTCAGATTGTATGACTGATGAAGACTTGAGGGACCTGGCAATGATGTCCTGCTACATGATGTGAAAGACAAGATTTCAAGTTCTTCACGAAGTGTCGCCAAAAGATGTAACCACACACGATTTAAGGGAGCAGATGTAATCATTTAAGGATCATCTATTGAAAACCACTGGTTTACTGCTGAACTGAACGTTTGGGTGGATGTGTCCCCTCCAGTGTTTGAGGGTGTCACGGCCCTGCCTCGAGGTTATGGATGGCAGTCCAACCTATGGATGACATGTGTTTGTGTGCTGAAGCTGTGGGATGTCAGCACATGGGACGCACAAGAGGACTGTTTGCTGTTGGGCGTGACTCATCGCCATAAAGATGTAGGGTTGTTCCAGAGAAACACATCAACAAAAACATGTCTTTTTTTTATGAACCACAATGCCTTATAGATTATTTTCTTTTAGGCCATTATATTTTTGGTGCTGTTTCTTTTCTGTTACAAAATCATGGAGACTATACTCACCCAGTTTCTCCTTTTTAAATTATTGTAACTTAATGATTTTGAAGAATTTCTATGAAATATACTTGTATTTATTCTGTCTATTAAGTTGAATTATAAGGAGTTTTTCAGTGTTGCATTTGTATCAAATGAAAGAGCCCTAATTATATGTCTTTTCAAGATCACGTGTGTATTTTTTTAAGAAGAGCATATAGAACTAGAAGCTAAAGTTCAAACACAAACTTTGATGTTGGCTTGGCAAAACCAGCCTCGGCAGCCTTGGGCTAAACAAGCCCGAGTACTTGTGTGTCCGGCGTTCTTGAGCTGCCCCGGTGCAAAAAACGTACAACAGTATTTTTCTATGGACCCTTGCTATTTTCTATTCTAATAAAAATCATAGGCTATGACAGCAGCTTCGACAGAGTTGGCTAGCTGGATGCCCTGCACATTTTGTATGTCTCCCTCAATTATCACACCTGATTCAACTCATCAGTTCATTAGTGGAGACTGCAAGACCTGAAGTGGGTGTGTCAGATATAGGGAGACATACAAAACATACAGTGCTGGGGCTACTTCATGGAGAGGTTTGAGAACCCATGGGCTAGGCCAGGGTTCCTCAAATCTTACACTGGAGGGCCAATGCGCTGCAGAGTTTAGCTCCAACCCTGATCTAACTCACCTACCTGTGATTTTCTAATGATCCCAAAGACATTGATTAACATGCTCAGGTGTGTTTGATTAGGGTTAGAGCTAAACTCTGCAGGAAAGTCTAATAAAAATCATAGGCTATGACAGCAGCTTCGACAGAGTTGGCTAGCTGGATGCCCTGCACATTTTGTATGTCTCCCTCATCTATCACACCTGTTTCAACTCATCAGTTCATTAGTGGAGACTGCAAGACCTGAAGTGGGTGTGTCAGATATAGGGAGACATACAAAACATACAGTGCTGGGGCTACTTCATGGAGAGGTTTGAGAACCCATGGGCTAGGCCAGGGTTCCTCAAATCTTACACTGGAGGGCCAATGCGCTGCAGAGTTTAGCTCCAACCCTGATCTAACTCACCTACCTGTGATTTTCTAATGATCCCAAAGACATTGATTAACATGCTCAGGTGTGTTTGATTAGGGTTAGAGCTAAACTCTGCAGGAAAGTGGATCTCGTGGGCCAGATTTGAGGATTCTTGGGCTAGG